AAACTATGTAACACAGTATCAAAATTTTATACATGTATACACAGTGTGTGTGTATATATATATATATGCCACCACATGCATCATTGTACTAGGCTACATACAGTATGTCCTCTATGTCCTGCTAGAGTGTGACATGGTTTATCAGAATTTTATATATTTATACTTCTCGTTCAACCACAATAAAATTCACTTTATCTAGGAGGCACAATTTATATGAAAAATGAGAAGCTGGAATTAAAACAAGCAAAAATGAAATAAAAGTAACAATTTTCTACTTCTTGCTTTTTTTAAAAAAATGCAAGGAGAATAAAGTACATATAATTGTGTGAAAATGTAAGAAATAGAAATAAAAGGTAGGCTGAAAAATAATTATTCAAGTAAAGTACAGATACCCAAAAAAAGTACAATAAGAAAGTATTCGTACTAAGTTACTTTAGAACTCTGTTAAAAAGCATGTCCAGTTTTCCTGATATATTGATTTTTTTTAAACAACCTCAGATGAAGAGGGAGGAATCATTGATTGTGTGGCCCATGATGTGTTCTCGTTTCTGGAGAAGAAGAGGAGTGATGGAGTGAAGGCCACAGTGCATGTTTCATATATGGAGCTGCACATGGAGGAACTACGAGATCTGTTGGAGCTGCAAACCATTCACAAAGAGCTTCACATCCGAGAGGATGAAAAGGGAAACACAGGTAATAAGAAAGTCAATGAAAGTGCAAATGATGATGTGCCTTCTAAATGAWATCATTTGCTTCATACATAATCTGGGGTTTAGCATCCAATTTTTATTATGTGTAAGTTTGACTTTTGTTTTTCCATCTGTAATGACGATATTTGATTTTTATTGTGTGTGTTTTCAGTGGTGGTGGGAGCCAGAGAGATGCTGGTTACTTCAGCCAAGGAATTGCTCAGTGCGTTTGAGACGGGGAACGCCCTGCGACACACCGGCGCTACAGGAATGAATGAGCACTCCAGTCGTTCTCACGCCATCCTCAGCCTTCAGGTCAACATCACCAGCAGCTCCTCTCTAAAGCTTGTCCGGTCCTCCAAACTCTGTCTGGTCGACTTGGCCGGCTCGGAACGTGCTGGAAAAACTGGAAACACTGGGACCAGACTCAAAGAATCGGTTCAAATCAACACGGGCCTGCTTGCGCTCGGGAACGTCATCCGCGCCCTCTCTGACCACGGCCGAAGTCGCCGCGGTCACGTGCGCAGCAARGCGCACGTTCCGTACCGCAACGCCAAGATCACCCGTCTCCTCCGCGACTCTCTGGGAGGGAGCGCCCACACGCTGATGGTGGCGTGCGTCAGCCCCTCCCACCACTCCGTCGCAGAAACTCTGAACGTCCTGCAGTTCGCTTCCAGGGCTCGTCACGTCRGCAATTGTCCCGGAGCGGCACCCACTCACGCAGCGCTCCAACCGGGCCCCGACCCCTGGAACCCCGCCGAGGCTCGACTCGAGGAGCTGGAGTATGAAGTGAAGACGCTGAGAGAGCTGCTGAAAGACAAGGAGAAGGATATAGAGGTGGAAAGAGAGAAGACGGGTAGTAGAGGTGGAGAGGATGGCTTCAGACGGTCCGGTCGGATCAGGGGGTCAGAACCGGATCAGGAGGGGAACCAAAGGACGGCCTGGCAGTACCGCCTCCTGGTTCAGGAAGCTGCAGGTTTGCTCGCAGAGGTTTCTGGTTCTTCTCCAAGTCTTCTGTTCAAGCAGCGACTGCGAGACTGGCAGCAGAGGCTGGCAGCTGTCAGTCAGCCCCATCATGTGACTGATACAGACTCTGAGGAGTGTACACACCCAGCTCACCATTTAACTCTTTTAAAGCTTCAAGAAGAACTCAACCAGTGCCAGGTAAACACAAGACAAGAAAGAGCTTAAATAATAAAAGCATAATGCCTTCTTTAACAGCTCAGTGAAACCAAGCTACAGCTAAGGTTTCAATCTAATTCTTATATTTTAAATATAACAAGTTCAGTTTTTATTGCAACTTCTTGCGACAGAGTTATAAACACAAGTAAACTGGACTGAATGAGTTACATGACAGAAAACAATCATCCATTTTTTTGTCTTGTCTTTAGGAGGTTGTCAGTGTAAAAGAGCAAGAATTAAAAAAGAAAGACACTGAACTAAAACAACTACAAGAAGAAGCTGAGAAACATCTAGAAGAGAGAAAAGCCCAGTTTGTAGCCTTAGAGGAGGAAAAGGCGCGAACTCGAATACAGGTGAGGAGAACAGTGAGTTTGTAAAACAATCATTTATTTAATTGCATCTTTTCCTTGATTTCATTTGTTGTTGTTTTTTATGTGACTGGTCAGACGGAGCAACTGGTGAATCAGCAGATTCTGATCGACCGCCTTCGCAGCAGCCTCTGGACCTTCCATGGGACGACCTCAGGGGCAACCGTGGAAGCAAAGACTTCTGGGTATTTGTACAACAGACCTCACAGTGTCCCTCTGGTCCGACACAGCTGTGTGCACYGAGCGTCCAGGGAGGTAGGGATCTGCCGCACTTTAAAACGGACGTTCGTTTGGATCATCGTTGCTTTGCTCACTTTTCGTTTGAATGCTGTTTGAGCAGATTCACTCCAGCCCTCCGGTCTACTCACTGGAGAGGGTGATGGCAGCTTTTAAGATGCGGGGCCACCTCCTGCTGGCTGAGATCCAGGAGAAGGATAAAGTCTACTGTCCATTTATTGAGCAGCAGGCAGCAAGCAGTGAAACCAGGGAGGAGGAGGAGGAGGAGGAGGAGGAGGAGGACAGTGTTGTGGGCAAATTTAGGTGAGAACCTTTATTGTACAACTGTTTCCATACACCAACAATAAGCTAAAGTTAGTAGGCACTAGTATTAATATGATTTTTTATTTTTACCAAACAAGAATGAAATAAATGTTTGTGTATTCATAAATTAAATAAAAATTGTATAGGTTTGCAGTACGAGGTTGTTGTTTTTTTTTTTCGAGACCCATGCTGGCAAATTTTCATCATTTTGTTTTTACATTTTTCTAAATAATATCAGGTTAATCAGGAATTTTCTGTCTAATTTAATTTTATGATGCAACTTCAGGCGGTCATTGAACCGAACATGGACCAGCCGGCAGAAGAAGTTACGCCCTAAAGAGAAAAGCACTCCACAGTTTCAGACACATGACAGAAACACAGAAGCACAGCAGCATACGACAACAAGTAGCTTTTACACACCTTTTTTTCCTGCCTTAATGATAGTGCATTATTTCATGACAGCTTACACATTCAAAGGAGCTGTATTCAAACTGTCGGCTGACATTTCTTGTCAGATTCGGTGGAGAACCAGCCTCAGGAGAGGCAGGTGAAGAAGGTCAGGAGAGCTGGTGTCACCGAAAGAAGAATCCATGAGCTGACTGTGAACATGCGCATGAAGGAGGAGCTCATCAAAGAACTCGACAAAACTGGTGTGATCAAATCTTTCTGACTGGCTGCTGTGCTTTACCCACATCACATGTTTCTGAACCACTAAAATGTACTTTATGGAGTTTCCAGAGACTAAAAAACATGTCTATGTTTAGCTCACAGTGATATTATTGCTTTTACATATTAAATAGTCTTTTTAAGTAGTTTCCTACGCTTGATCTTGTATTTACAAATAATGACTTACTGAACAGTATTTCCTTTTCTAAAAGAGTGTTTTGGTTTGGCAGAAAGGGAAARGGAAGCAGTGGACCGAGGCGGTGGTCGGCACACCGGTAAAACAGACCTGCTGGTACAACTTTCCTCACGGAGCCAACAGGTCCGGGCCGAGGTGTACCACAGTCTGCAGCACATGAGGCTGCAGAAGCTACAGCTTCAGAGCTGTCTGGGGCAGCTGGAGGAACTCAGYGACAGCAACAGGAAAAAACACCAAAACAGGGTCAGTTATAAATTGACAGTTGTAGGTTTTTTTTTCTGTTTTACTCTTACAAAACGAAAATCTCACTGGATGCCAAAATCCTTTGCATATACGTAAGTACCAGACAGTTCAGTTGAGTTGGAGGCAATTGGTTACAAAAAACTGTAAASCTTTTACAACCAACTCTCAGAATGTGTCAATGATCAACTCCTTTTTTGAGGAAGGTGATTTGTGTTTATGTACACAGGGGCAAAGTGCAGGGATTTCAGCTGTCTTCAAAGATCACCAGGAAGAGTCAAACAAAAAGGTAAAAGTTAAACTTTTTAAAAAATTACTTTTACAACTTTCTTCTTTAAAATAACCATCTGCTCAGGGTTTATTATATATACTGCTTGATTTACTATTTTTAGCTGAATTTGTCTTTTATACCTTACTTTACTCCCCGTATTTACTTATTTTTTCCCTTTTTTAACATTTTCTCCTTCTTGCTCTCTCTACAGCTGTGTGACAGTAGTTGGCTGGAGGAAGAGGAGGAACACGTTCTTCAGAAGCGAGCAGAGCAGCAGGAGCTGGAGGAGGAGCGGAGGAGTCGAGAGGAGGTGCTTCTACGCAGGCAGGACTGTTTGCAACAAAAACGTGAACTAGAGGTCAAGAAGTTACYCTTCAGTCAGGTGAGCTGTTCTCCAGTAGAAGAAAAGTCAAACGTAGGCATGGAATAAAATCACACTTCTACATGAGATAATCTGGAAATATTTCGTTTYTTTGTGTTATTCTTGTCAGGCTTTGAGCCGGGATCTGCTGCGTGTATCTGTGCAGCTGGAGTCTGTGGAGGAGCAGCTGCAGAGCAGCAGCAGTGTGAGGAAGGCTGGAGGAGTTTCCAGGGAGGAACTAGAGAAAGAAAGCYACATGCTGAAGATGAAAAGAGACACTTATGAAACCCAGCTGAGGGACAACACAGTGCTCACTGCAGATGTAAGAACTCAGGGATTGTTAGCCGTTTAAACAGATTTTAGTATTTAATCTGTGGTTTTATTGTTCATTACTATGTTTAAAACCCGTCCATGCACAGGAGGAACTCTCCCTTCTGCAGCTGGAAGAAGCRATCGAGGCTCTAGATGAAGCTCTCKAATTTAAAAACGATTCTATTAAAAAGAAGGAGCGGGTTTTAGTCAGCGACTCCTCTTTGTATCTGTCACAAAGTGCTGAGCTCCCTCAACACTGGGACTTTACCAGGAAGCTGAAGAAGCTCTCACCAGCTGAGGCTGTGGATCTCCTTATCAAATATTTCAACAAGGTGAGATTAAAAATAACATCACATACAGACCTGCATTTGTCTTTACATATAAAGCATACAGAACGTATGTGGAAATTTGTTATTTTTTACACTTGCAAGTAAAAATGGTTGAAAACCCTTCATTGAAAATGCAGTAACCTTTTTTTATAACGACGCCATCTTGCTATCCCCTCTTACTTATCACCCTCTGCAGGTTGTTGGTCTCAGAGAGGTGGAGCGCCAGCTACGTTTGCGGTGTGAAGAGTTGGAGCTTCAGGCTGACGAGCAGGAGGCGGCTCTAAGAGAGATGGAAGCGGCCATGCAGCATCTGGTCCTGGATGCAGACCGCAGACTCACCCAGCAGCACAGAGAGCATCAGAACAGCATTCAGCTTCTACTGCAGAAACTCAACGGTGAAAATACTGACTAAAAATATTCAGATTTATCCTTTTAAAAATGAGTATTCCTGCTTCATTCACATCTGTTTCTCCTTGTGTTTGTGTGCATGTAGAGGATGTTTCTGGAGTGGCACAACAGGCAATACAAGACAGACTGCAGCATCTAGAGAAGGAGCTGTTTTTCTACAAAAGCTCCAGTCGGCAGCTCAAAAAGAAATTGAAAGAACTTGATTCCGTCGACCCTGACCATCAGCCCTCGCACAGACAAACGCAAAACATGCAGACACACACGAGCACAAGTAAAGTCCAAGCTCCTTCTGCACATACTGCAACCACGTACACAAAAATATACACTGAGCAAACTGACACACGCGGAGTTTCTTCTGACTGCCAAGCACACCAACAGCCGAAGATGTCTGAACCCAATCAYACACTCACACCGTCTCACGGGAGGAGCGCAAGAGTTCAATCTGAGAGAGGTTTACAGATGACACCTGTCAGATTGTGTCGCAGAGAGCTGAGGCAGATTTCWGGACCTGACCTGCAGGTCCCCAGTTCTGCCACTAGGAAGCAGCAGTCTGCTGTTGATGACAGCATTGAGTCAATGATGGAGGATTCAATAGAAGTGACCAAAAAAACTTGACAGATGATTTTATTTTCTGACCTGTTTAAAAGCTTTTTATATGTGTAACATTTCCACAGATGTCTTTGTCAAATTCCAGGTGATTCAGCAATGTGTGAAAATCTTCACAATTCGTTGGAAAATCCCTAAAAACCTTTTTAGCTGAAGCACATTTTTTTTTATCAAAGGTCATAACATTCACAAACCAACAGTTATCACTGACATTTGTCAAGTTCAAAAAAATAGAGACATCATAAAGATGATCTTACCCTTTATGATCTTATTTARGAAAAGAAGATAAACTAAAACCTGTGACAGATAGTCCATTTTCTGTTGTCTTGGCACAGTCTAGTATAAACTTTTAGGTTTTGCCTCTGATTAAAAGAGATAAATGAAGGAAATATTGTCATCACCTGAATATATGTAGTTAGCTGTTTTTTGTTCATTTTAGTTGTTTTTATTTTGGATTTGATAGTAGGATGAAAGTTTATATGATAATATAAATTTATAGCACTTTTAAATTCTGTATAGCACTACACATTCTGTTTTGTTCCTGTGCATTATTTCAGCATCTTAAGTTTAAAACTCTGAACCTAAATTATATATTTTTTTAAAAAACGTGCTTCTTTTTTTGGATCAGGAGCAGTTCATATAAATATGAGTTTTTCTAACTGTGCATACTAATGCATGTTGCTAATGAAAGATCCCAGAACAAGCACTTTTTATTTCTTAAATTGTTTCGGTTTTTGCACTATATCTCATCTTATGACCAACGCAATCTATATAAACTAAATTATTATTTTTTCTATTTAAACAACATGATTAGCTCAAACAACACTGCCTTTGTGGACCAATTGTAAACTTTTTCTTTTAATTATAGTGTTATTATTTTGTAAGTGTTGCTTTTTATACAGCCTAATATTAAAATTCTTTATAACATATTATTTTCATGGCTGATTCACTGACTGATTCGTTAATTGGTAGACTGATGTGATTGTGGCTTTTGAATGATAAATTGATTTGTTTTGATTTTAAGGCTGGTTGGTTCTTATAATGAAAAGGTAAGCCTTTATGAGAAAATATGGTAATTGTAACATAACACTTGAGAAAAATGGCTAAAATATTATTGGGGAAAATAGATTTAAAACGTACCATACAACAGACCCAAAACAGTGAAAAGTTAGCAGCAACAGACTAGCTTAGGGGATTTTTAGCACCAGTTGAAATCGCGAAACTTCACACTATTTTGTTCCAGCCGGCTTCCGTACCAAGTTAGACAATCGCTGATAGCTGCTGCTGCCTACAGTTCTTCGCGAACAGGTGAAAGTATTTAAACAGACTTCTCTTATTGGTAGTGCTTCTTCAACACATGTCAGCTAGTACGAGAAAAACAAAAGATAAACCAGAGGCTTTAAGGGGTTTTTCGTCGACTGGCAAGGATAACAACTTTAGTACTTGTTAGCTAACAAAAGCTGCTAGCTCGGGGTATGTCGCTGCTATAAACGCTAATCTGCCTTCACTAGTACACTGGTAACAAAGACAGTARGAAATTACTTGACAGTGATTTGCACGGAAGACCTATTTGGAGCACTGATTTGGTTTGGTTGTTTAAAATAGGTTGCGAGTGTTAACTAACTAAAGTTTAGCTAATAAACTGTAATTTCTGTTTTTTTCAGTTTTCCGTCAGTCACGCTATGGCATCGTCCGCTATGATCACCGTCCCCACCACCGCCTCCCGGTTTGCGCTGCTCCAGATTGATTCCGACTCGGATACGGACACCTCGGAGCCGGGGAAGTCGAATGCCAAAACCGGRAAAGAGTCCTCCGGGAAGCCTCGACAAGGAGGGAAGGCAGGGGCAGCAGCTGGGGGAAAGGCTGCTCAGGCTCAGAGCAACGACAAGAAGAAAGACAAGAAAAAGAAGAAGAAGGAGCAGCAGCAAAGCGAGGCAAGTGAGGTGAGTATCTGAAGAAATTACCCCCCAATCTTCAGTTTGATTTTCATAGAATCTGCTTCTAAGCAGTCAGATTTTCTGTGGTAATAATTAGCTTTATTATGGCTTTGCATTGCCTGTCCATGTCCATGAGAATGTTCATTGTCAAACTATTTATTGCTGACACATTAATCATTCAGGCACACAGTGACTCAAGAGATGACCCATCTCTGAATCTTGAGTTGTTTCCCAGATTTATACTTTTATTTATCTATTTATAGAAAATGATATATGTTTTGACAAGCACAAGGTGGCTGAAAACTTTAACAGGTACTTCACCACTGTTGCTTCTTCTCTACTAAAAAAATTACCCATGGGAAGTGGGAGGTTTGGCCCGACCTACATAAAGCAATTCTACAGCAAATGCATAAACTCAGGTGCTTCATTTGTATTCAAACACGTAACAGAGGACATTGTCCTCAAAAACCTTCAAAATCTAAACCCAAACAAGGCAACTGGACCAGATCAAATACCCCCAGATTCATTAAAGATGTACCTCACCTCCCCACTAACACACATCATAAATTTGTCTCTGTCAACAGGTAGTATCCCTCCCGAACTTAAATATGCTAAAATTACCCCTATTCACAAAAAGAGCAGTAAAACCGAGGTTAGCAACCATTGTCCCGTCTCAATTCTCAGTGTTGTCAGCAAACTGATTGAGAAAACATTCTATGAGCAACTCAACCAATATCTCACAGACCACAACGAGCTCCAGTCAGGTTTCAGACCCTCTCATTCTACAGACACGTGCTTCACTTATTTTATCAAGTCAGAGCAAGACAAAGGCAACCTCACAGGTATGGTCCTTCTCGACTTACAGAAGGCCTTTGACACAGTGGATCACAGTATTCTCATATTCTCATATGTAAATTGGAAGCCCTGGGGCTCCAGAAACCAGCAGTAAACTGGTTCAGACAGACAGCAGTATGTAGATATCGGAGGCGTAACATCCTCTACAACAAAAGTGATATGCGGAGTCCCACAGGGTTCCGTTCTCGGACCGTTACTATTCCTCATATATATTAATGACGTCTGCCGCTGTAAACTGCAAGCTGCTTTTATATGCAGACGACTCGGCTCTCCTAGCAGCTGGTAAGGACACTCTAAAATTCAACAAAGCCTAACATCAGAACTTCACTCTATCCACGAATGGCTTATTGACACCAAGCTATCTCTTCATCTTGGAAAGACAGAAACAATCCTCTTTGGATCCAAAAGAAGGCTCAGTGGTAAAGATCCACTGGACTTTAATTGTGATGGCCACCCCCTCTCCAGCAAACGAAGTGTTAAATAGGTGTGGTGCTGGATGAAACACTCTCAGGCAGTCAAACAGCTGACACTGTCATCAGAAAATCTAATTCCAAACTTAAGTTTCTGTACAGGCAGACAAGACATTTCAACATTAAAACCAAAAAAAATGCTAATCTCATCTCTCATACAAAGTCATTATGACTATGCTTGTGCCTCATGGTATACAGGCCTTCCCAAAAAACTGAAAACTCTGCTACAGACGTCACAAAATAAAATACTCCGGTACCTCCTGAAACAACTGAAGCTAAATCACATACATAATATCCTGCACTGTAACTTAATTTTTGGACCACAATGGAAATAAGTGTTTCTCACTTTCTTGTGTTATCCACGTACTAATAATGAATGTACTAGATGTGTATGTACATACAATATTATGGCTAAATAAAATCAATCAAATCAATCAACACTTCAGTCATATTCACAGTCATTGACCAAAGTCTCAATGGTTGTGGAAAAGCAAACAACCAGTAACAGTCCTCTTATACATATAAACATTGGGCAGAAATGAAACATTTTTCTGCTACATTTTTTTTGTCACTTCATTAGAAAACAAAACTAAATATTAGTTTATTTAGTTTATTTATTTCTTCATCATCAGTGACTTTTTTAAGTGAAGAGAAAATAGAGACAGAGAGAAAAACAGAGAGAAGTAATTAGAAAGATAGAAAGATTGAAATAGCGATTAGGATTATATT